TTTGAAGGTAATGAATATATATATATATATATATATTTAGGGAGAGAGAGAGACACACACACACTGCCGACAACAAATTGTTATTTTTATACTATTAAAAACAAAAGGGCGGGGATAAATATCTCTCTCATTGGGAAAACGAATCTCATGCAGTGTGTGTGTTTTTTTTTAATTTCAAAAGGATGATTGATATGATAGTAAATAGTAATAAGAAGAACAAAATTCAATGATTAACTTTAATCCAATTCAAATTTGATCAAAATCAATGTCATCATTACATCTACAGCATATCTCATTTTAAGTTTAGTTTTATATGAATAACAGGATTAAGTATTTATAAGTCATGAATTATTCGACTGTTATTAAGCTCCATGCGACTTTGTTTTTACTCATTCTTTTGTTTATATGCATTTTCAATAGGGTTTAAATCACTACAAAAAAATAGACTTTAGGCGACGACTTTCGGCGGCGACAAAAAAAGTCGCCGCTGAAAATCCACTTTCGGCGGCGACACCAAAAAGTCGCCGCTGAAACCAAGACTTTCAGCGGCGACAAAAGTGTCGCCGTCGAAAGTGGACTTTCAGCGGCGACTAGAAAAGTCGCCGCTGAAAGTTCGCCATTGAAACCAAGACTTTCAGCGGCGACCAAAGTGTCGCCGCTGAAAGTGGACCTTCAGCGGTGACTTTTTTTGTCGCCGCCAAAAGTGGACTTTCAGCGGCGACTTTTTTTGTCGCCGCCGAAAGTATAATATAATAATATATATTTTATTTTACAATATTAATAAACAAATTGCCGAAAATAGACCTTCAGCAGCGACTTTTTTTGTCGCCGCCAAAAGTGGACCTTCAGCGGCGACTTTTTTTGTCGCCGCTGAAAGTATAATATAATAATATATATTTTATTTTACAATATTAATAAACAATTGCCGAAAATAGACCTTCAGCGGCGACTTTTTTGTCGCCGCCGAAAGTGGACCTTCAGCGGCGACTTTTTTTGTCGCCGCTGAAAGTATAATATAATAATATATATTTTATTTTACAATATTAATAAACAAATTGCCGAAAATGGACCTTCAGCAGCGCGACTTTTTTTTGTCGCCGCCGAAAGTGGACCTTCAGCGGCGACTTTTTTTTGTCGCCGCCGAAAGTGGACCTTCAGCGGCAACTTTTTTTGTCGCCGCTGAAAGTATAATATAATAATATATATTTTATTTTACAATATTAATAAACAAATTGCCGAAAGTGGACCTTCAGCGGCGACTTTTTTTGTCGCCGCTGAAAGTATAATATAATAATATATATTTATTTACAATATTAATAAACAATTGCCGAAAATGGACCTTCAGCGGCGACTTTTTTTGTCGCCGCCGAAAGTGGACCTTCAGCGGCGACTTATTTTGTCGCCGCTGAAAGTATAATATAATAATATATATTTTATTTTACAATATTAATAAACAAATTCAATCTGGCTCAGCGGCAAGAAGGTTGGACACGAAGGGAGGCGGTCACGAGTTCGAACCTGGAAGAAGACACATTTAAGGTGAAAATATTTAGACGATGACGTGGCGAGGAGGAGTGACGTGGCAATGACGTGGAGGTGGCTAGTGATGATGTGGCGGTCGGCGGTGATGACGTGGCCGCCGATGGTGATGACGTGGAGGTCGACGGTGCTGACGTGGCGGCCGGAGACGATGACGTGGCACCGGCGGTGATGACGTGGCATTGGTAAAGCCAATTCTTCTTAGGCATTACTTTCAGCGGCGACAAAAAAGTCGCCGCAGAAAACTTTCGGCGGCGACATTTGTCGCCGCTGAAAAGCATTTCAGCGGCGACAAGAGTGTCGCCGCCGAAAGTGTTTTCTGCGGCGACTTTTTTGTCACCGCTGAAATGCTTTTCAGCGGCGACAAATGTCGCCGCCGAAAGTGTTTTCGGCGGCGACATTTGTCGCTGCTGAAACTTCTAAAAGTCGCCGCTGAAAGTATCTTTTAACAGCGACCTTTTTAGTCGCCACTGAAAGTTTTCAGCCACGGCTGCTACGGCAACGACTTTTCAGCGGCGACTTGTCGCCGCAAAAAACTTTCGGCGGCGACTTTTGTCGCCGCTGAAAGTCAATTTTTTTGTAGTGAATGTTGAGATAATAATGCAGACGGGATATATATATATATGTATGTGTATATATATATAGAAATATGAAAAGAAATATTAATAAAAATATAAGCGGTACAGCTTAGGCGTCTTTTGGAAAAAGATAAACTAATTTACTGATTAATCTAATTTTTAAAGAAAGATGCGATATCTAGCATTCTAGGTTGACGCTAAGGATATTCTACTCTTATATATGTGTGTGTGTGTATGTATACATTGTTCACCTCTTTAGTGGCTGCTTTGAGGCCTCTTTTGTTAAAGAAAAAGGTAAATTAGTTAAGGACAAAAGAGATCATCATTTACAGCTCTTACATGCATGATTGCAACACAGATATAAAATGTATTTTATTCTGAATTCACTTTCACCTTTCTTTTTCCCCCCTCTTTTTGAATAACTTTATAAAAAATTTGGCAAAAATTTTGAGAATCGGAAACCCGGTTGTTACAGATATTGATTTGCAATGAAGGAACTCTCAATTATGACCAAGTGTTTGATATCTTAAAGAAGAAAAATGTGCTTTTACCCAAAATTTTGATGAGCACTTTGGATGAGGAAAATCAATAATGTTAGGCATATGCTTTTGAAGATGCCATGCAAAAGAATGAAAAGAAATAATTTTGTATGTGGGGACACCTCCATTTATCTTTCATTAATTTTGTCTTTTTCAATATTTTCCCTTCATCTCTGGACCCCAAATTCGGGAGTGCATGCATATGCATGATTGACAACAATATTCTACAATTTTCCGGGTAAATTGATCATTAAGAAGCCTAAACATGCGGTGGTCGCCTGCTTTTAGTGTATGTCTCACTCATAAGAAGGAATTTACGTTATGTTTGATAAAGGATTCAAACTCACAACTTTACGTTTGATAAAAGTTTAAAATGAGTGTTTAGTGTTACTGAGTTAGAAGATCTTTTGCTCCTTGTTACCAAAACATTGCCATGGTTTATAAGTTTTTCAAAAATATTAACTAATTTTAACTGGATTACTTAATTAACATGGAGTAGTTAATACGTTCTTGGGGAAGAAAAAGGATATATAGAAGAGAATAGAGTTCGGATCTAATTTACAGATTTTCTTTAAAAAATTTATTCTTCTGACATATCATCTATATGACATGAAATATAAAATTTTGAGCAAGTTTAGCTATAGCTAAAAATTGAAAAAAAAAAAGAAGGTGCTGTTCATTCCTTAAGTATGATGTATGAGACTCATCTGGTTTAATATAAAATTTAGCAAGACGTACACACTTATACTCAAAACCGTCATTAAGTTTTAGATGAATGAATAGTCTTGCAAGCATTTAAAAAGAACTAAAAGTGAAACAAATATTCATATAGAATAAAAATGTAAGAATTCATCAATTAATCGAAGACCAAAATAAGGTTTTTTTTTCCCCAACTTGAAAGATAAAAAATTTATATTAATAATATATGCTCAGCCTAACATGACACGCATGAATTGAGCACTAGGCGAAACTTGGTTGGTGCTTCGTGTGAATCATTTTGGTTAGTCAAATGAGTTCACGTGACAAATTCAATTAGAAGCCATCCACAAGAATCATCACATCAACATCAATTATCCCAAAAAACAAAAATATCTCAAATCCCAGAGAACAGAGACTGGTAATGCCCATGGTTTTACCCCTTTCTCCCTTACCGAATTTCACTGCTTAGTTCCATTATTAGTCATGTCCCATCATCTAAATTGAATAAATAAATTATTTTTTGTTAAATCGTACCTCCTCGATGAACACCAAATTGGAAAACTTGCGCCATGTTGGGTTGCCATCAAGGACTGAGATGAATAGTGTAGCACCTTATCCTATCTCAACCATGTAATCAGCTAGCTGTAGACTCTATTTGTGTTGCCCTATTTCTCTTCATTTTCGAAGGATTTGGAAGTGTTTGAATTAGCTTTTTGAAATATTCAAAATAAGTACGTAACAAAAATTCCGCCTCAATTTACTTAAGCGTACTTTTTTAGGTACTTGTAAAGAACTTACAAGGCATCCTTGCGGAAAACTTTTTTCCCAAGTCAATTCTTATTTACTATTGACTAACCCCTTATAAAAAGTGTTTAGATAAAAACAAAATCATAATTTTAAAAATACTTTTACGATATATAAAGTAAATATATCGATAAGCTTATCTAGATTTACAGAAGTGTTTTTAAAAAACACTTTTAGTATCACCTAAACACCCCCGGATTTGGGAGCCCTTCAGAGAGAAAATATAACTTTAAGTGGGACACATAACGATTACATTCTCATTATTTCGGTATTTTTTTTTTATTTCATTCATACGGGACCAAAAATGTCTATGTACAGAATATTAGAAAGAAATCTTCAAAACAAAAAAATAGAAAGAGAGTGATTTTGGTTGACTCATGAGGGACTTGTTGAGGGAACCTTGAAATAAACATGAAGAATATAGTGAAAATAATCTATTTCCAACTCTACTTTGATAAATAAGCCCATAGGGGAAATTGGGTAGGCTGATCAGTGGATCCCTTCTTCGGCATAATGATTCATGTCAGTTATTTCCAAATGAACGTTGATTTATTAACCCAATTGATGCAGTTATAAATCAATCCCATGGTGCTTTTAGTTTTCTCGGTATATGAATACTTTGGTCTATGTTCGAGAGTTACAACATAAAAAGAGAGCCCCCCCTTCTCTTAAATGACAATTTTATAGACAGATCATTTATTAATACATTTGCATTCCATTGAAATACCACTTACAATAACTTAATTTATTCAATATAGTGTTTTTGCAAGATAATAAATAATATATAATAAAAAATACAGCATGCATATATCACTATTAAAATACTGGAATTTTCATTTTACCAAAACAAACACTTGTAACTCTAAAATGATTTTAAGAAACATTTATTCAGCCGATACAATGCAAATCCTACATAAATCAGCTAACAAGTTAAAATGCAGCAATAATAAGTAGTTAATATTCAGCAATAATAAACTAAGTAACACAACATCCCAGAAGCATCCACTCGTTAGATTCGCTCAAATAAAATTGTACTTGATCTCAACCTATCTTGCTATTATGTGCACCTCAGGGAATCCTTGTTACAAGTGCAGGCCGGAGGGGTGATTAAAATTGCATGAGAAATATCTAAGATCCATGAAAATGCTCACCCACTAAAGATGTATATAGATGGTCACTATGATTCGCATTCATCCAGATTCCCTAGGCAATCTTGCTTACCTCTTACCTCGAGATCCAGGCCCAGTTCTTGGTCCAGGAAACCGAGAAAACTGAAGGCGTAAGTGACTAGACTCAGGGTTGAGTTCGTCAACTTTATAACCTGTGCCACACAACAAAAAAGTCAGAAAATTCACCATCAGTAAGCTTTCATGGGAAGAAAATCATTAACCGCTGAGTTTTAACATAAAAATCTCCATCAATAAAACGGTAAGTCCTCATGTATACCTTGTAAGGCACTCAAAGCAGTTGCTGCGCAAGCTGGATTTGCAAAGTCCACAAAACAAAGGATAAGAGGTTCTCCGCTACGCTGCAATGCACAAGCATTTTAACATGAAGAAGATTTCATAACTGCCAACGAATTAGTATAACAGTTACGAGCAACGGCTAAAGAGGACAAGCAGAGTCCACTTACAGTTTTAGACTCTTTTGTAACAAGCCTTACTTCTCTGTATCCAACAAAAGGGCGGAAGATATCTAAGCTTATATTAAGGGAAGTGAAAAACTGAGTTGAAACAAACCAGATCAAGGATAAAAAGATGAAAACAAAATAGTACTATCCCACAGCAGTGTCTCTGAACAAAAAGGGATACGAGCCACTTCTCTTCTAGTGCTGTCAGGAGGGAGGCCCTCAACGTATAAAGTACTTGAAGCATCTGGTGGTAAAGGTACTGTCTCAGGTCCAGGCCTTGGAACAGTATCCACTGGTAGCTGACCACTAAAATTAACATTTCGTCCATTTGGTGCGAGATCATGGCCACCACTCCCAGGGCGTCTCATGACAGAAGGATCAGCTAGTGAATGACCTGGCATTGTACTGACAACAGGCCTTGCCATACCAACACTGCCCATTGTACTAGCTTCTCCAGAATTATATGAAGGCATTTGCTTCAAAACCAAAAAGGATAAATCTTTTTAGCAAACTAGAAGTAAAATCATGAGGGAGTACATACTATGCCAGCAGAAGAGCTCAAAACGTTACCACACTCTGAAGGTAGCGATCATAAGCAGACAAGATTGTTTTTGTGTCTTTTATAGCAAGAGATCCAGTTCGATCATCCTCTCGAGCAACATAACCCTGCATCTCACTACCTGAAGCCATGCCAGAAGTTGACATCTCTGCAAGGGGAAGGGTACGTCCTTAGTCTTCTAACTCATTTCTTTGCAAGCGTACCAGTGAACTAAGACCACAACACATAAATTCACACATAATCCTAAAACATTGCAATATCATTTATCCACTCCTATGAACCTAAACAACATTCCTAGGCTTTGTTGTTGTTGTTGTATTATGAAGCTAAACAACTAACCCGAAGACTTGATCAAACAAATATGCCAGGTAGTGGGAACAAGCAAAACTAAGATGCATTTTGCTAAGATTTCGAGCTCACCACTAAAACTAAAAATAAAAATATCTTGTTGACAGCTACCAATTTGCCATTTCGATTCCCCCCCCCCCCCCCCAAAAAAAAGAACAAAAAAGAAAAGAAAAGACAAAAGACAAAAGCCAACGCTGCTAACATTTGCAGAAGTATACAAAGATCCAAAATAATGAAAAATAAAACAAATCTTGTTTTAGCCAATAAAAATAATCAGAAACTTAGAACGACATAAAAAGCAGAAAAACCGACATAGTAAGGCAAAAACCAAATATCTAAATTTCAAACATAAACATATTATTGTAAACTCTTGAACAATCCAAACGTCCAATTCACCAAATTGATCAAATGCAGCAGAGATTATGAAGAAGAAAGTGGCCACCAGAAAATAGACTGAAATCTAAATAAACAATTAAATATGCAAGAGAACTGAAAACCTGCGATAATAAAAATGAGAAAAGGTAAGAAAAAAAATGATAAACACAAATCCACGTATAGCAGCGGTAAAAATGGAAATCAAACTAGTTACAAAATGGAGATCATTTTATGGGGAAAATACACTTTGCGTCCTTTAAGTATGTGGAATTAAAACTTCAGAAAATTGAAGTTCAAACTGTACCAAATGCTATTGCAAACTTTCGTAAAATGTGGAAGCAGTAATGACCTGTGAAATTGAACACATTTTCTCTTGTAATAGGAATGCAAAAAATCAGTAAAAATGCTACCTAGAGGCTTACCCCAAACCCAAAACAAAATATATAGCCAGATAATTTTTTTAACGTACCAAAGACCTGGCCCTAAATTCTCAGTCATGGGATCAAGTCCTTCGAGAATTCAATTCCCAATAAAAAACTTCAATCAACACATAAATTAGTAAAATAAGACTAGAATTGAACAAAAGAAAAGGGGCACTGAACTTGAATAGAAATCACAAATCAAGATCAATGGTTCATTGACAAAGCAGGTATTGTCTGCATATACCTGCACTTCTTCAGAAGTTTAGAGAGATATGTAAAAGGGGGAATTACAATCGAGTCTCACAGAAGAGAAATAATTACCAAAAAGTCCCAACAACAACCTCAACAACCTAAATGACAAGTTCTATAGTGAGAATGACAACCTCTGGGACTTGTTTTTCAATTATTTTCCTTACTTGGGACCTCATTGTAATTCTCCCTATTTAAAACAACTCTGAACTTTGTGCGCTCTCATAATTCAGGTAGACTCCAGGACAAAGGACAACAACACAGCATTGACACAGACACCCTAACCAAATAAGATCTTAAGACCCCGTACGTAGTTCAAAGCAGGATCGCCTAATTTGCCCTTCTTTCCCATGAGTCCCATGCCATTCCACAACACAAAAAAATTGAGACAAACCCAACCTCTTATAGGTCCAATCATCAAAAGAACAAGCCAGGGCGCACCACGTGGGTCAAAGACACAAATGAATAGAGCATTTCACATGCAGCAGACCAAAAAAAAAAGGGCAGTGCTGTCTGGCGCTACCACAGACCATTGAGTAAGAACTACGCTTAAACCACAACCAACAGTCAGAAAAACCAAGGGAGCATGGCACACGATAATCACTGCTCTAAAAAGGCATCAAAACTATTCCCTGAGGCACACCACACAGGCCAAAACCCATATTCCTAGTTTGTCCAACCATATCTGATAATACCTAAACAAACTCAAACCCCGCATTCTTCATACTTTCTTCTAATTTCAAGCCAACCGTTGAAAGACATGTAAAACTTAGATAAGAATAGAAATATGGCGAATAGGGAGGCTTGCGCACAGGCAAAAGTCTCACACTCATTGTCGCAGCCCTTCTCCCCTTTATCTATAATAACATCAACATATAGATTAACTACAATATAAACTCCAAAAAGATAATGATAAAGGATAACTAACACTTCTAACTAATAGTAACCTCTTTCAGACAAGACAATATTAAACTTAGTAGAGAATCTGCAGCCATTGGGAGTTCTGCTTAAATAGGCATTTCAACAAGACAAAATATTTTCTATACAGTAACAATCAGGAAAAGATCCCATATTCTGTCACCTTATAATCAACCAGTAAAACCCATAGATATAATAGCAAAATCAACTCGGTCCTCTAACCATAATAATCTCTAAAAAATATATCACAAGCCTATAAAACCCACTGTAAGTCTCAGCGAGAAGATCTCACATGCCAACAAAAGCACCTACTTTCTTTGTGCGTGAGACCAGTCAAGTTTATAATTTCACAACTGTTGCTGCATATTTAAATTAAACTCACAGTACACACCCAACTGCGATACTCTAATATAAAACCCCAGTTTTAAGAGACCAAGTAATTCGTGGTATCAGTTAAAACAAAGCTATTTGAGAAAATAGTGAAAAAAGCTTCTTCGTCTTTTTTTCACAAGCGAAACAACACATCACCGTATCAGCGCCGATAGAGATTGCACATAACCATAAATTGTTACCAAAATTGCCAACTTTGGCCTTAAGCATCCCCGATCAACCCATAGTAATCCTCAGTGAACACAAAAACCATATGCAAACCTTATTTATTGACACATAACCTACTAATTTAAACAGAACCCAAGGCGGGGTACCTTCCAAATGTAAATTAAAAGCAATTAGCATCTGACAAATCGGGAACCCACATCAACAACCCAAAGCGAGCATTAATACATGAGAAAAGCATACCAAATATAAGCAAAGATTTAAGGGTAGAATCAGTAAAGCAAGTGGGGAAAGAGCGCGAACCATATTCAGTACGAGGTCGTTTAAGCACGGCAGAGGACGGGAGCATCGCCGGCTGCATCGCCTGCTGCATCGCCTGCTGCCGATTCCAGTAGCCGTCCGTCATCGTGAAAGATTAGCGAAATCAGGAATCCCAAATTGGGGAAAGAAGACTGAATTGGACTTCGATTTGAAAGATTGCCAAAACCCTAAACTTTCTTCCTTTTCTGGGTTAGTCACCCTCACCCCCCTCGCGCTTCCTCGTTTCGTTCCTTAGTTTCGTAATCACCCTTTTATTTTTTTTCTTTTGGCCAAATTCTGAATTAACTGGCACTATCCTAATATCCTCTTTTTATACAGTACTATCCTAATGTCCTTCTGCTGAATATAAATCTAAAAATCATGTAATTAAATATAATTAGATTTTTTTTACCAAAATAATTATATAGACTATATATAAAATAAATTTGAATTTATATAGTTTTATTTCAAGCTGATCTCATTAAATCAATATTTATCAAAATATTAGTGTTACATGATTTTTTTTTTGTTTGCCTTCAACATGATTTACTAAATTTAATGACTCTTAAATTTAGTATAGGAAGGAATAATATTTTTGTTGCGTTATTTTTTTGGTACATATTTTTTTTGTTGCATATTAATTCCTTTACAAAAGGACAATGGGAGGAAATACTTGGACTTCACCCAATTGTATATTGGGCTCCGGCCCATTGTCATGGCCCATAAAGGGTGAACGTGTACCCAATTTCATTTTTTGAACCCAAGTGAGTTTGATATTGGAAGAGCTTGAACCCATTGAAGCATGAAGCCAATTGACGCATGATGGCCTCATTTTTATGCATTGAATTCCACTAAAATAAAAAAGAAAAAGAAAAGAGCATAAATCAACAAAGACCAGTAAATAGTCAATCTTTCGCCAAAAAGCACAAGAATCTGCTCTGGATTGATAGGCGTTGCTAAAACTTGACTCATTTTTTCTCGTTTTACTTTGATTTATGCATTATATAAATATGTGTTTATTTTAAAAATAAAATTATAATAATCTCTTGTTAGAGTTTAGCATGAACTTATGTCGTGTGCATATTAATTAAAGACAAATCGCTGTCGTAATGTTAGGTAGACAATTTCTTCTTTGACAAAAACTAATTATTTCAGAGGCTCTTATACTATTGAGTAAAGTAAGCTATCTTTAGAGTATAAATTACATTATCAGCTAAGTCTCTGTTAACTTTTAAGTAAATACGATTTCAAAATAACATATAAGATAAGTACATATTGCATTTACTTCTTAAAATAATTCTTACACTTAATTTATTTTAAGATAAATAAAACTAGCTAGTCAAGCACGCATAAATATGCTAAAAGAATTTAACTAAGAAAGTGAAACTCTCTGTCTCATTTTTTATATTCAATGATTATATGACTCGCGTCATTTGACAGACTACGTCCATTTTGACAATTTTTTATATACTCATACAAAGACTGAATTAAAAACGTCACATAATCAATCAAATAATGAATGCATACGTAAATATATTTATTTCCAATGGACCCAGTCTGATAGCCTAAAATTCTCCTCTCCTTCCCACGTTCCATTCATTAATGCTGCTCTATGTTCATCCTTTCATGGATCCTCCATCCACAAGCCACTCTTAGATACTGTTTGGTATGAAATATTGAAAATAAGGGATAGAGATTGAGATTGAGATTAAGATTGAGAAAATAGTATTTAGCACGAGAGATATTGCTTGTTACATAGAATTAAACAAACCCATATATATATGGGATTAATGAATATCATGGAGAAAAATGATATTCCCAATCCTATTTTTACAGATTTGCCTAATCCTATATAACAAACAATTACCCATGCTAAAGACTTTTTTACTTATTTTTGCCAATTGCAATCATAGTCTCTATCCTTCATTTTCAATGTTTCGTATCAAATGGGATTTAGGAGATTCTACCCACACTACACATTCCTTGTTTCATTTATTAAGCATATCACAACTTGAGTCGAACCCACTCAAAGTATTATTTTCACAGTACAACAAAGTTGAAGGAATTTAATTTCCCTCTCATCACACCTGAGATAGCTAATATAGCTATATTGCGGATGTGGATTCTCCCACCGCCATTGATATGCCAGAGGCGACATTATTGTCACGAATTGCTTTGAAAAACATATATGCGAATGGGGTTTCGCTTCTATCCATTGAGACAACCATACGGTTCTTACCATCGCTATCGGTCCTATAAGTAACATATCCACACGAATCTTTTGAATAACAGAAGGCCAAAACATAATACTTGGTAGACTCATATGGCTTGATATAGAAATAACCACTACGAGGAAGGCTGAACTCTTCGAATTTGCCAACCATGATAGGATCTGTGTCGTTGAAGGCAGGCTGCGTTGCGACGACCCAATCAGGCGTGTTCGTGCATGATGCGTTTGAAGGCAAATTAGTGAAGGATATGTTTAAAGGATAGTCGTTTGTGATGTAATTGAGAGGAAATGGCGTCGAAATTTTTGTTGGCCAGCTTATATCCTGGAGAGCTACAACGACGGCGATTGAGCAGGAGGAACTATTTTCATTTGAGCTAATGGAAGCTCCCACAATTGCTTCAATAGCACCAGGCAGTGGCTGTATGCGGTAATGGCCTCCATTCTTTAGAATGTCACCGTCTGTGTCATATATGAACTCAGCTCCGGTGAACCCGAAGAAGAAGAAGAAGAAGAAGAAAAAGAATGCAGCAAGTGCATTAGTGATCTGCATTGTTCGGCTATTAGGGCTATGGATGACTTTATGGTTTGGTTTTGGATGTGGTGAGGAATTGAGACAAGTTGGGCCATTTATTTATAGAGATAACCAAGTAGGATAAGGCATGTTCTGTCCTCAAAATATCAACCCTTGGTTATGATTTCCCTGTTATCTAGCTACTTGGTTCCCTCCTCTTTTACGGAGTTTGCTGCTTCGATATGAATCACTGAAATTATAATATCCTCCATAAAAACGTGTTGGTTTGTTGATAATACTACCTCCAGTCTTTATTTTGATTATAATTATAAGACCCCAATCTATTTTATTTCTCATATTTATGCATTCTTTCCTAAGATAGTCTTTCTAATAATAGTAGTTTTAGCTAATAAACTTGATTAGCAAGGATATGTTAGGAAATACAGTACCTATTTATTACAAATAACTAACTTAACTTATTTTTTTAATTTCTTCAAATTAGTCAACTAGCTTTTATAATTAGGGCCCGAAGTAGTAACATTTAACGCATTGTTTGCAAACCTTTGGAAATTAATTTAGAAAGAATGATATTTAAGTCTCAAGAAAGAAATTTAATTACATGATAACTCGTTAAAACTACACCATCGCCTGCCCTCTCTGCAGAGCAAGAATTCAAAAATTTAATTTACAGTCTTAACTCTCATGTGAGCTCAGGAAGCAACAATAATTGAAGGGACCTTATGAGAATGACGACGAGTGGAGTTAATGAACATGACAAAAACATAGCAGGCTGCCAAGGGCAAGAAAGGGAAAGGACAAGCGAAGGAGATTAACCATTTTCTTGTGGGAAATTGACAAAAACGACAAAATATAATGGGGGCTAAGATTTAATTAGAAGAATAATACTGGGGGCTCAATCCTTTGATGGTATAAAAAATTTTGGAGAGCCAAGGGATAGTTGATTGCCAATAGATATCATGAAATGGGCAAAAATTTTATAAGTCTTTCTCTAATATTTATAAGTCAAATTTAAAATTTTTGAGTTACGTCCTACGCATATTTTCGCACAAATTCTTTTTAAAAAATGCATAAGTAATTAATTTAAAATTTTCACGAGTCCTGATAAGTAGCAGCGTGGAAATATATATTCACGCAGACGCACACATATATATCTCACGAATTCAGACTATTTTTTAAATTAATATTGATTTTACTAAGTTATAACTTCTGATCCAGAAAGGAATGAATGGAAAAAGCAGCATGTCGTATCAATGGAGAATTCTAAGAATATTTCATTGTTATTGGATCGGGCCAAAATCCGTGTTTGATTCCATCTTGCTAAGGATATGACATTAGATAAACAAGACCAAGGTCTGAGGAAGATTAAAGATTTCCAAAATTGCAAATGAATCTGAAGAGATGTCAACAAATATTGATTATAAACAATATTACAGTAGTAACGGACGATTTTCCACACTTTTTCATATCACTCCCTCTTATCTTGAATATAGGAGCTAAGCTAATTTGTAAAACTTAACATGAAATTAGTTAAATTAGTTGTCTGTTAAAAATGTGTATTCGTTTTTTTAAAATATCTTTTTATAATTACATGCCTTGGAATTATCTTTAATAAGAATCCTTTAACATGCAATTAACATGAATAGTTTTGAAAAAATTATAAATTTACAAGACAGCCTAACACATAATGCAAGGCCAGCAGAGTGATAGGATTAATGTGTTTGATTAATTTCATCATGTCGTCTCTTTCAGTCCCTTTCGTTGCTAAATGGAATCAATGCTAGGAGTAAAAAATTACTACCAAAAGAAGACAAAACGTGTTCAATGTGTCTCTGAATCACTTGGAACCGTTTAGTGGTTCCCGGATGATTCAAAAAAAATTTTAATGAAAAAATTATGTTTAATATATACAAAATCTAAAACACAGACAACTTATACTTATCAGTTTTTTAGAAAATAATTTTTTATTTAAAAAGTATTAATTAAAAATTTTAGATAAACATTGAAATTGTATCTAGATAATGAATAACAAATATATCAACGCCGACAACACAGTAACGAGTATCATCGTGCTCATCCTTCTTATAAGCCGGTCTCAAATCACTTGGCATGAGATAAAAAGAATATAAAGAAATTATAACCTTTTAATTAAATTCAGAGACGAAGGCTTTTGTTTTTTTTTTTTTTAAGTATATATTTTCTTTGAATATATTTTGTGGATAAAATCTACTACGATCAACAGTTCGAATCATTTCACACTGTGAACATGGAGTTTTTCTTTTTTTTCCAGCGACTATCGCCTCAGGGAGTGTTTGGATAGAAACCAAACTATAGTTTCAGAAGTGCTTTTACGGATTACGAAGTAAATATGTGGAGGAAATTACCTCGTTTTGCGGAAAAGTGCTTCTGAAACCATGGTTTTGGATTTCCCAAACACCCCATCAGTCGTCAAGTTTATTCTATGGTCTAAATTTAAAAGGCAAAAA